GTCACTCCTTTCGGTAGTTAACTACAATAGTTGGTTAAACGAAGGAAAAATATCTTGTAAAATATTTCATAAACTAATAGATCATTAAGTTGTATACACAACGATCTAAATACTCAATTGATCTTTTGGTTTATTCACTGGTATTCACATGAATGAACTTATGTATATTTTATTCAATGTATTTTCAATGTAAAGACTGTTCACAGACTTTGTCGTTTATATCAATTACAAATGTAAACAATTTGTCAGTAGATATATATTAATTTACCAAAATAAGCTTAATATAATTACTACTGATATTCATTTTCTGATCAATTGCTATAATTTATGACTAATATCTCGATAAATATTTAACATCATTCATTAATAAAAAATATTGTAAAAAGTCTAAATCGCTTTTCTGTTATTCTTTTTTATTTTCATTTACAGCGAATAACCTCACGATTTATGATATAAGAAGAGATTAGTAACATGTTACAAAACGAAATCATCAGTGTGTGAAATGAATCGAATTGATGCTACTTTTCTCTGAGTATACCTTAGTCGAAATTAAAGGTTATTATTGATAAAATAGGAACAAGTTTATCCAAAATAATATAGATAGAAATGATGCGTTGACTTATTTAAAATATCTTCTTGTTTAATAATTATTTTGAAGAAATTATCAAATCAAATAATCACTATTAAACACAAGAATTAGAATGTGACTGAGGACCAGTATGTATTTATACTACACACGTAAGCTATAGAGGAAAAAAAAGCATCGATGTTCATCGATGAGTTCAGTGAATTATTTATCGATGATATTTTTTTGTTTCTGACGAGGTCATTTATTCATTCTATTCAATAAACATAATTGATAGAACGAAATACCAATGAATATGAATCAGTCAAATGCCACATTTCTTGATCTACCTAATGAAATATTATTTAATATATTGATGAGATTTGACATTATGGATGTTCTCTATTCATTATTGAATATTGAAAATCAACAACTTAATATGATAGTAAAAGACCAAAAGTTTACTACAAGTCTCAATTTTGTATTGACAATGATAACTAATAATGTATTGCTGATTGATGATTATAAACTTGATCGATTCTGTATAAATACTTGGTCAAAAATTGCTCTAAATATTAAATCTCTTATTATTGAATCGGAATCTATGGAACGTATTCTTCTTGCTGCTGATTATCCCAATCTAGTTGTACTTAAATTCTTCAATTTCAATAACAAAACTGCTTCAAAATATTTTACAGGTAAAACATTCTTCTACTAATATGAACACAGAGTTTGATAGACACGTTGTATATTCTACATGGTATTTAATTATTTCTCTTAATTTAGTCAAGTCACCATTTCACAAGATATTTGAAAAACAAATTCGAGATCTTATGTACACAAATATATAGTTAAATTCTTCAAAAATCTAAAACATTTATCTTTTACTAGATCATGTGTACTTTTATCATTTCGTAATATACCTTTGACAGCTTACTCTTCTTCTTCAACTATTTACAAATTATCTATTTGTGTAAATCGTTT